TTATTTATGAAATTCAAGTCTAAATTTTAAAACGTTTTACACTCAACAAAGCTACCTGAGTTCATACGTACGGTAATGTTTGCATAATTTATGGTCCTGAAAGAATGTTAGCGTCTTGGAAAAATTCACTGCGAATTAAAGATTTTTTGAGTTCTCAAATTTATATTTAGTATTTACACTTCTTTTATGTAACATGCAAAAGTATAGTACAAAAAGTATAAATAAATATGTTGTGACATTATCACACAGCACCATCTCGTTCCATGGTTAGCTACGAGGCCTGTGTTATGGATATCGTATAGTTCATATACTACACAAATATAACTTTAAATAGATATTACATACATGTTATAAATATAAACACCGTGACTGGAGAACAAGCATTCGTGCTAATCACACAAATGAATTCCAACGGGACTCGAACCCGCGACCGCTGGCATAGTGAGTGGTGTCACTACAAACTGAGCCAAACCTGTCGTCAAAAGTCAAAAATATAAAGTCTACATAGGAGTCGAATATGTAATAGCTTTTAGAATTCAGAACATTAATATTTTTAACTACTAAGACTTAATAATTCATAAACGACGAATATTATTTAGAAATTAACAGAAGAAAAATTTTGCACTTAGCATAAGAATGAGAAAATCAGTAAGCATTCTCTATTAGATACTACGTCAGTGAAGCATTAACACGCAATGCTCTTTATTTTAAAATAATGTTATCACATGATTTATTACCACAAGTGGATTAACTGATTATTATAAATTCTTAAAATATGACTAGGTAATATAAGAAATACAAATATATTCATTAAAGTTCTGGAATCGAAGAAAGTGTATAATAAATAAATATATTATAAAATAAAAAAACCCGACTGCATAAAAGTTTTATAAAAAGATGAAGACGGAATATTATGCAGTAGGAGACATAAACGCCGCGAGATGATGTATATTTCCGACTGCATAATACTATATTCCTTCGTGCAAATTCACGCAGTTTTTCATCTTTTTAATTAGCTTTTATGCAGTCGAGTTTTTTTTTATTTTATAATATATTTATTAATTTACAGCTTATTTAGTAGTATTTTTAAGTAGGAAAATTAGCGAGACTGGTTATTAGCCAACTTTAAATCATTATATATCCTAAACTGTTATTTATAAAGAAAAATTATGAAAGAAACCTAAAAATTATTTTTAAATACATATTGAACGATAATCCACTTGACATAGTTCGTCGATTTTCATTTTTTTTCTTTTTCACATTATGGCGTTCAAAATCTACCATTTTGATTTTTCCAAATTTTGAAACGACGACGTGTCATTTTTCAAAATCGGTCCACGCGTTTCGTTTAAATAGTGCCTTGTGGCACTATTGAGACCCACACACATAAATGCCACATACATACATACATACATACATACATACATACATACATACATACACACACACATAAACACATTACCCTCCTTTGCTTCGCGCAGTTGGGTAAAAAAAGTTGTAGATTATGTAGTAATATTAATATTCAGTTACTATTAATATTTACCTTTACATAAATTAATTATCAATATCGTCCAATTATTCATTACCATTTTTTATATTATATTACGTGTACAGTTCATGTAAAACAGCAATAGAATAACTATACGCTTGCATCACATTTAAGAGCATTTGCTGTAATGCTAAAAAGTTAATGAGCTTGGAAATGTGTTTTGACATACGTTAAAATACACATATAGCTACATCATATACCTTGAATTTAAAATTGAATCTTATCATTGTTTTATTAATATACGTTGAAATATTGCTTGCATTTTTAAGTCGTAAAAGTATATTATTTTAACGTATCAAGGTAATTAATTTTTGTAATCCAGTACATGGACTTATGAAGGTTCATGACAAAGTACAATTTAGAGGCAAATTGATCAGGTGGTGCGACATTTGCGTCATTCATGTTTGCTATGAAGATATTTCTGTGACATGGTTAACAGGCACCGTAGTCTGTATCGTGCATTTTTAAATTGTATTCAAATAAAATATTTAGCTGACAGCTCGTTATACACAAAATTTAATAGCTGTCTATTCTAAAAAGATATATTTTGAATGTTTATAATTAAATAATAGATATGTACGACATGCAGTCGAAGTGCGTCACATACGATATGTTTACATTATATATTTTATGGCTAGCGATTAACTCCTGGCATCGGCGACGGGCGGTGACGGCGGCGCGACGGCTCGCTAGTAAACTTGCACCAAGTTCATGGAGCATGGTTATTGGCGCCCACTGACTTTCCACGCTTTTATTAAATAACACCCGCACACTTTTCACACGATTGCGTCAATGGTCAGATAGCGCACGCGATATTTGCGTCTGAGCGATTATTAATAGTATTGCCTGGCGAAAACTTTACGAGTCATCGGTTTTATTTTAGAAGGAAATGAACCAAGTAAATAAAATAGTACGAAATTGCTCGTGGTAGATGCGCGGCGTGTTTTGTTTTCGCTGAGTGCAGGATTTGGACGCGCAGTCTATTTCCAAGCTCGCTATGACGGTTTACGAATATTTATATTCAGATTCGTCACTTCGATCGAGTTATGGTTTGTTTAAGCTAAGTAAAGAACGATCGTTTGGAATGAAGTATTTACATAAGATTATTTTTGGTAGATATAGGACTTATTTATTCCTCGGCGGGCGTCATTCTCTTTCAGCATGTGAAAGCCATTACCCATATTTTAGTCGGAATGACGCATTTCAATGTTTTTATAAATTAGATAATTACTGATCAACTTTTCTTTAATTTCGTGTAGTCGTATCTTATGCAAAATAAATTTTAAAATTATTTCTATTCTGTAAAAAATAAGGTATTTTTGCCCGTCGAACTATTTTTGAGATTTGCTACATATTAAATTATGCTCAAAGTATGTAGTAAGCGTCAAAATAAAAGTTTTGAGTATTAAAAAGCTTTAAAATTATTCGTAGAAAAATATTTTTTAAAATTTCTGCATATTTAAAGTTTATTACTATACAGAGTTTAATTTGTGTAAACCTTTTATTACATACATATTTCTGTAGAAATAACGAGAATACTTTATGCAATTATATACTCCACGTAGTACAGTACTTGAACGTTTCACAAATATTTGTTCTCTCTTGACGTTTTTAATGATGTTATCTATCGCAAAGTAAACGTAAATCCCGCAAGTATTGCAAATAGAAGCTTGGTGATTGCGCAGATCTAACAAGTTATCGGATTAAGTAGAGCTGAATCCAAAACCTTGTGTTCGAGCATTTCTTATGAAAAAAAACACAATTTATCTTAATACTAGTTAGTAGTTTACAGTGAACCGTTAGACATTCGTTTCTGCTCTAAATTTAAGTCCTAGCTACCATTTTTCAATAAACTTAAATAGATGCTTTTGATGAACTGATCAAATTGATGGAAGAAAGCAATGTTATGTGAGCGCCTTCTGTGCATCTTTTTTTGTGTGTTTATGTATTTTTGTTTGTATATTTTTCTTGGTAAACAATAATTGAATGTTTTTAAAGCTTTTCCGTAATAATGTAAGTTCTCTCAAACCAAATGGTTTACAGAGTATGAAATATAATACCTTAATTGAAAAAATGAATACTTATATAAATAAAATATTTTTTTTTAAGAATACTAAATTTAAACTGTACAATAATATTAAAGATAATTAGTTTACATAAAAATACTTTAAAGAAATTGGCAATCATTAAAAATGTGATAGTAAAAAATTTTAATGACTCAATAACGCTGATTGCGAGCATTATAGCGTGCGTTCTACCTCTTGTCGTCAACTATTGCCTTGCCAAGTGTATTCATGGCATATCCATTCAATAGCAGAACATGTGCATACTTTATTCTTTAGGTTATGGGAGCTCCTATTTCCATTAATATATTATTGTGAATAAATACATCAATACAGGTTATCTACGATACGACCCTTTATGTTATAATTTATATTTAATTTATATTATAATACATACATATACTGGTACATATATATGTAGTTCCAAAGTCCTACTACATTTACAAGTTTTGAAGGTCTTATTGGATATTGGGTATTTACGTAATGAAGGGCTTATCGATAACGCTAAAGTGTTTTGTCCTCATAACGGAAATTTAAAGATACTTAATCGTTTAGTTTTTTAATATACGAGTATAATCGTGAAATATATTTTGACTTTACAAAAGTAATGATCTTATTGTCAAGAAACGTTAGGTTAATGTGATTTCAGTGTAAACGCGAGCCATTTTCATGGTTCGACGGCTCTGATACAATGCCAAGGCGTCATTTCCGTCAGGGTCCGTCCCCTGACCTTTTCAATGGGGTTAAATCTACCTTTTGTATGACGTCAGTTGAGTTTCTTTCTTGCCAGTAGTTCGCTTAAGCGTTTTATGAGTTACTAAAATTAGTGTAACCGTATTTCGAATAATGGATGTATTGCGCTCTGTACACTATTATTGCCTTTATTTTTTTAATAACTTCTATCTACCCTTAGAGTATACATATGCTATGTATACTCTAAGCTTCTACCCCTCTATTTTTAATGAATTATAATCGCTGAAGATAAATGTTTTTACTCTTCCTCGATTATTATAATTCGAACGTTTTCCTTTATCTAGAATAAAACGTACCATAACAAAATATTAATCTATACAAACGTGTAAATTATATTACCTTCGTATTAATATATAAGGGCACAGGAACTTAATAAATGATATCTAGAAATCATAATAAGTACCTACTTACTAGTTAATCTATCTACTATCAGATTAACTTTATAGCGAATATAAAAAAGGTAATAATATAAAAAATTAAAAACTGGAATCGATTTATACTTTTTTACTTTGGGTTATTTAGCATAGTTTTATATTACTTATAAACGTAATTGTTTAATTTCGACAATCGTTTTTTTTAATTGTCATTTTAATGTTAAATATTAACTAAACATTTCTATAAACTATTATTTTCAGATTGCGAGTCTTTAATACGCAAAATGTTAGTCCTAGAGCCAATGAAAAGGTATACAATAGACCAAATTAAGAAACATCGATGGATGTCCGTGGAACCATATACTGCGCCGACTATCACCGCAGATCCTATGCGAAGCCCTGCACACGTCACACATCACACCCAAGAACCAAACGAACAAGTCCTTCGACTGATGCAAAGTTTGGGGATCGACCCAGTTAAAACTAAAGAAGTAAGTGTTCATTTTTAACATATGATATTATAAAGACCTAATAATTATTTTACCATATTTAAATAATAAATCTATTCGTATGGTATAACTTGCCTGCTGCAGGTTTTATTTTTAATAATTATAGCTGCCTAAATATAGTAAAATCCATAGAATTCTCTCAATAAATTTTGATTTCTTCTTTACAATTTAAGAATATAAAGAAAAAATAAAAATTACTAAAATCTTTCTGCAATAAGTAAAATAAATACATAAATATTAATTCAATATGAGTAAAGAATGGTATTTAGCGAGCTCCTTTCAGGAGTGTGACACAATATCTTTCACCACAGAGTCTTCGCTCGAACAGTTACGACCACCACGCGGCCATCTACCTGTTGTTGTTGGAGAGACTCCGCGCGCGCGCCGACTCGCGCCGCCCGTCGCGCCGGGAACACGACAGGCGAGATCATAATAGGTGGGTATTCTTTTTAGGGCCATTATCTATAGGTACGCTATACTTATAAATAAAATTGAAGTGTCTGTTTGTAATGTCAAAATAACAACTTTTTACTAAATGCGGCCAGTAAAAATAGAATTTAACTTTGTACTAAATTTCCGATCCAATTTTTTTTTATAAGGTTTAGGATCACTTACTGAGTATAAAATCACAAAATGCTGACAGATTCCAATGCAGCTTCAGGCGCCATCTTTTTTTGCCAAAAACGTTTTTGGCCGATATCTCGGAAACTATGCACTTGAGCAAAAGTCATTGAGACCATTTTTGTACAGAATGAAATATCGCATCTTTTGTTTTCTGTAAAATTTTTGTGTAATTTACTATTTACGATTTATGGCCCATTTAATGAACCAGTTTTTCTATCTCGGTCGATAACTCTTAAAATATTGGTTTAATCAACGATGCATCTATCAATTTATTCTCTACAACTTTTGTTTAAAACCTTTTTTTTCTAATGTCCATACTTTTTAAGCTATAGGACGTTCAATGTTGGACCACCGGGCGTAAAGTCGAAAATTTCAAAATGCTGCTAAATACCATTCCTTCCGGAATTACCATCAAGTTCAAACCTGCCTTAACTGGAAATCGTCTATTTTTACTGGCCTAATTATGAAAGCACTAGCAGAACCCGCTCGCGCTAAAACTACAAAAAAATCTCTAAAAAGGTAGTTTCATAAGAACTTTCATCCCCTATTTTACCTCCTTATCGGATGAATTTCGAAAATTGCCAAAATACGTATTTATTTTTATTGAAGAGCATTAATACCAAGTTTTAAGTAATTCTTATCATAAATATTTGTTTGGATTGTATTATAACGTGTTTTCTTCCCGTGGGAATTAGATAATCTCCCATGATAAAAAGAAGCCTATGTCAGTCTCCAACTATCTTCACACTAAAAATCACGCTAATCCGTCACTCCGATTCGACGTAAAAGAAGGACAAGCAAACAAACACACTTTCACATTTATAATATTAGTATGGATATACGGTACCAATAAGACATAAACAATTTTTAAAAAAATTATCTGTCTGTCTGTTCGGGCTAATCTCCGAAACAGCTGGATTGATTATGACAAGACTTTCAGTGGCAGATAGCTGATTTTCTATAGAGTAACTTAGACTACTTTTATTTGAGAAATTATATGTAAACATTTAAAAAAAATGAAGTAATTAAAGATATTACGATATAAAAGTGTTTGTCTTCAGTTGTAATAAGAAAATATTCGTTGGATTGTTAAACTATATTTTTAGAATCAAAAAGGGGCTTGTATTGATCCAAATTTTTTTGAGTAGCAGACAAATTATGTATTACTACAATTAACATAAAATGTTATTTAATTTCAGATTGCTCCATGCAGGAGAGAGAGATTTTAACCGATCGATCCCCGCTGCATCTGCCGACTCTTCGTCAGCAGAAACGCAGAGGCTTCTCTCCTTAGCTGGCGTCAACATGACCGAACAGAGACTTCTGCAACGAAGTACTGACAATTCGGAAACGCACCGGAGCTTTTTAGTCGCCAATATCGACAAACACGACGAATCCAGCAAATTACTCTCTATGAGGAATATAGACCAAAGACCAGACACGCACAGGCTCACTACGTATGAACAGCAACAGAATATTCTGAAGCAATCGAGCGAAGACTGTCGTAGGCTACTCCAACAGTCGACCACTGTCGGACCGGAATCGCATACACATAAAACAGACACAAGACTTCTAACTTCATCGAGTTTCGATTCGAAATGCGCTATCGAAAGCGGTCGATCGACGTCCGCAACGGACCAAAACGCGATAGCTACATTTCTTCAAAATTCCGCGTCAGCAACTAATTTCAATGCAGAGCCTATAAAACTTCCTACTTCTACGACATTTACAATGTGCTCTGAGGCTGCGAAACTTATGAATACCTTACAGCAGTCCCCTTTGCCTTTGAAGGGAACCGTTAACCTTAGCACTAGTCCCATACCAACTCAGTTCACTGACACTAAACTAAGTAGCGTTTTAGAACAACCAAAGCCGTTAGAATCAAGTAGACTAGTTTCGCAAGCGCAGCAACAAGAACTTAGTCGATTACAAACCAGCACACCACCATTTAAAGAATACATGAATATTCCAAGTTATTCGTACCTACAGAATACTGGTATACAACCGGTTTCGTCGGAAGCGAACTATTCCAACTCGGCTACGGGCGATTTATTTCCAAATACGTTGTACAGACCGGATAGCAAATTTTCCTTAAATAGATATACTACAGGACAGACATTTAACCAAGTATTACCCACTAGTGCTGAGCCGACAAAATTTCAACAACAATATTCCTCGTCCACAGACGAAGGCTGTGAAACAGATATGGAAGAAACGAATGCGCAAACTGGAGTCCAGAATCGATTAAGTTCTTATGCGAGTTCTAGTTCAAGTAGTGGAGTGGTGACTTTTTTTAATAATAAGAGTCTCAGCCAAAATCTTAGTTGTGATTCGTCACAAAGCAATTTCTCGACATTCGAAAGTATCGATTATCAGCTTTCTGATTGTTCGAGTGAGTTAGCTAGCAGCTTGCCTAGTTGTACGTCCAATGAAGATAAACTGGCTTACGAAAACAGTTCGCTCGTGAACACTAGTCCCATGCATCCTTGTGTGTATATATCCTCTTATAATAATAAAACTACGGGTACAGGTTTTATCGCGCGGCATAACCCTATAAACTACCAGTCGGCTAACAAAAATTGCACTCGCGCTATAACACGGAGTCCAGTAGATTTTAGAGAAGGGCGGCGTGCGAGTGACGGTTTGGTCGCACAGCAGGCTGCACAATCAAACGACACGCAAAAAAGCACGCTCGCATTCAACAGCCAGAGATTAAACGAAAATTGTAAAGCAAAAGGTGTTTTGGAACTTCATTTAGTCCAAAAAGAAGCGCAAAAGCTGAAAACGCAATATCAAGCTTCCCTTCCCGCGGAAGAAATGACGCAAAGACAGATACAGCACAATCAATTCGCAGCGAATTTTACCCCTCACTACTTAGACGCAAAAACGCCCATAAAACGAATAAGTTTACCGGAGACGTTCAATTACTCGAGTACATCGCCACCCATGCCGGCCAGTCCGAAGATAACACTCCAAGATAGTTCAGACCTGTGTCACGCGTCTTTATCACAAATGAGCAAGCCGCCACTCCAGCAGCAATTGATGCAGCACCGGCTTTTTCAGCAGAAACGGCAACTCTTGCAAAAACAAATGACGCCCCCGAACTTGCACGATATGAGCACTCTGCACAACTTGCAAGTGGGACTCAGTAGACGACAGATGTTAAGACAGCAGAGCTACAAAATAGCGCAACAACAACAGATATTACCGCCATTACCCTTAACCGAGACGGAAAATAGAGATTTGTTAGCATTCCAGGCGATAGTGGAAGACCCGAATCGGGTAAAACCTAAAGATGATGAGGAGAAATTCTCGTACCAGGGTTCAATGGACATAATACAGAAGGATAGACTGGGCAATGAGAATTGGTCGAATTTGCCGTCTAGTTTGCAGAGTGCGTGTCAGATATCGGAGATCAGGCGAGAAGGGAGAGAAGAGGATGCGTGGACGCAATGGAGCGCCGCACCAGGACTTTTCCAGCCTCAGGCTTGCTTCCAGGTATTCCAACAGATCAACTAGTAGTCCACTTAGACGTAGTTGTATGGTAGCACACGTTCGTAGTACACATTATTTGTTTGGATGTTGATAATAAAGGGCTTAGATTGTCATATCAATTCGGTTGGAGTTCACTGTTGCGTAATGACACTATAGATACTATTGAGTAACTGGCACCATTTTTTTCAATCAAATAAGTCACTTGTTTATAGACATTTAGATTATAACTTATATATTTTGTTTGGATTTATATATTGTGTACATTACGAAAACGTGTGTTAGGAGTATAATAAATGACTATTTAGTATATTGGTCAGCAGCTAGGTTGGATATTGGTCTCATTGTAGCCATATGTTAATAGATATTCGACATAAGGTAATTTTATTCACCAAAGGCATGGAATCTAGAGTGCATGACAATAACTAGTGCTTTAAAATTATATAGCCACGTGATCATCATTACGTCGAAACTGCCGATAAGTTATGATTAAAAATAATACGCCACACGATATTGTCAATAGCTGTAGAAATATTTGTACCGTTTTAGAACTGTTAACATTTCGACATTTGAATTGTATTCATGGTTTATATTCAATATACCAGAGTAGTTAACATCGTCCATTCCTTCATAACTGAAGTACATATATTCATTTATTTGTAAATTCCAATACTTAAAGCTTGCCAAATATTGTATTATATATAATGTATATTGTATAATAATAATTATAAATATAATTGCATATTGTAAAGTAATGCAAGCATATAACTTAATGTTCCTACATTTGTTCATAGCAGACCCCAGAAGTACATATTTGATTATAAGTGGATATTTATTAATATTGTTAACTTAACGTCAGTCGGAAATTCGTTTCACTGTGAAAGTCTGTTTAGAGGTTTTTATTATTATTTGCTAACTGTATATTTTATGTAAGATGTGATAGCTTTACTTAGCAGCAAGTTTTATTTAAAATATAAGTAAATGTAAAATTTATAATAGTTTCTTGTTTTATTTTATCACCAAATTTGTTTTGGCTTTTTCGTAGATGACACGACTGCATGCACGATTAGTGACATAGAGAATTTATTTAACATTAATTGATTACACTGTGTTATATAAAGTATCTAAATAACCTGAGAATATAGAGGCAAAATTCTAAATTCTTACATTTTTGATAGGGAAATCAAAACATGCATATAAAATTTGCGAACAAGTAACTAATGTTTGATTTATAAAAAACAAAATGAACACATGCTAAAAATGAAAGCAATAGTTACTATTCATTTCCCAGTCTATAGTGTATAGTCTTACCTACTTAGCAGAGAATTGCTTAAGAATATTGTCATATGTCTGACGTCTGTGAATTTTCCTCCAATCAATCATCAACAAATCTGGTACAGCCAGAATAAGTATTTTCATTAGCCTGGTCAAAGAGTTTTCTCCAGAGTCATGTGTATGGAATATGTTCACTTTTTACCCCCCGTTTAGATGGCATGAAACTCAAATATTATAATTTTTTGTGAATAAATAACACAAAAACACTACTTTTGCAAAGATGTTTCATACTTTTAGAGTAAATATTAAAAAAATACTAGCTACAGTTTGTGATGCTCGCGTATACCTAATATTATTCAAAGTCGTCGACGTTAAAAAGTATTGTTAATTTCAGCCTAATTGGCAAGGCCACAGCCTGCCTCCTACAGCCAACATGCTGCCTTTAAGTGAGAGCCCTATTCTGGAATTAACTGAGCAAATGGAATCGATATAAAATATTTCATTTAATATGAAAACTGTAATGTAATTTCGAATTAAGTACTAATTAATTTGCTAACTTAAAATATTTAGCAGCTTATAAGACATTTCTTTAAGGCACAAGGTACCTTTAGATAATTGAAACCGTCGTAAAATTTTAGCAATATTACTTTAAGCGAAATGCGACAGAAAATTTTCATTTAAACTTAAAGAACCAATTAATTATAAATTTAATTAACGAAAACAATGTTGATTTTTGATCCATTAGATATAAATTTGCACATTCCAGGGTTAAGCTAAGTTGTTAGTGATGTTGACGAATTGATGAATTACGAATGCAATGTAAGGATTGTATGATCCTAATATTTGTTAAATTAATACCTTATAGTGGTAAGCAATGCGACAATATGATGATAGGTTAAATTGTTACTCCTGATTGAAATACTATTATTATCATCTATGAAATTTTAATAGTCATTTGCATTAAAGGCGTCCTGAATTATTTATTATAATACATATTTTGACTGCTTTTATCAAATATCTACGTTTACGCTAAATTAAATATAAATTAGTGTCGGGTAAGTATTATATACAGCGTAAAAATTGTTATAATAAGTATTAATGTAACACAATTTCTCATATTTTTTTTTAAATAATCAAATGCAAGTGACTATTACTCATAGACGAGTCCCTGTACATAAACTACCTCCTAATAAATATTTTTTGTGAAACAAGACTGAATTCAGTGTCAATTCAGATCAGTGGCAACCCTACCATCCTCGGGCAAATAAATGAGTTGAAGTATGTTAACTTGTATTAAAATGTTGCGTTAATAGTTCAACCTGTATCTAGTAGCTGTGTGTATTTACTTCCGTAGATTATTACCATTTTAACCCCATCTAGAAATTTTAAACGATTAGACATATCAAATGTATAGCAATAAATGATAACGGAGTTTATTTGCATTTACATTTATTTATAATAATTTGTTGATTGCAATGTCATTTTATTTTCGTACTAACGATGACAAATGCATAATTTACAATTGTTGGTAACTAAAATTAGATAGAGAATCTTATCAGATATAATTAATTTAACGTAAAATCAGTTCACATCGTCACTTGATTTTAATACATAAAATTAGCTCTTGTCTTAATTATAATTCACTACGATAATTAATGTTCTAACCATTGAAAGTGTATGAAGCTTTATCGAACAATAACAATAACTTACATACGTAAGAAAAGTTAATTTTAGTAGGTTTCTAATAACTTATTTAGTCAAAAGTAGTATATAGGTGTTTGGAAGCTTTTACACTATAGTAATATTGCCACTGTATTATATTCCGTCATTATTGTAATACCTTCATGTTAAACGCATTTATTTTAGGGACATAGATCCGTAGAAAATTTTACATACTTTGGGGAGAGCAATGTAGAGGATTTTAAGGCATGTCACACTCCGCTTTTACAGCTGATGTACCTAACCATATATAAATACGTCCAACATAGTAGAACTAGGTATTATGAGCTAAATACATATTTTCACAATACTTGCTCTCAGTAGCCGTTTATTGCAAATGTGAAAATATGATGTTAATGCTACTAATATCACTTGGTTAGCAAAAGTTTGTAGTTGAGTGTGTTTTTTTTACTAAAAGAATTAGATAGAAACGTTATATAAAATAGCTTACCTATGTAACACAACTCCCCTCGAGGTTCGAAGTATTCAGAATGTACACGCACATTATGTCCGTATTAATATTATAAATCTGAAAGTTTGTGATTATGGATGTTTGTTACTCTTTCACACCAGAACGGAACGGATCTGGATGAAATTTGGCACAGAGATAGATTATAGTCTGGAATAACACATAAGCTACTTTTTATCCCGGAAAAATGTACGGTTTCCGTGGGATAGGTTTGAGTTCTGTTTTCCTAGAGGCGTACCCGAGCGAAGCGAGGGTGAGCCGCTATTTTATTATATGTAGTTAGCTCAGACCAATAAAATACTTTTTTATTGGCCTGAGGTAATTAGAGGCAAAATAAAAACAATCACCATGAGGTACCTATTGTTTTTAAAAAATCTAAAAACACATCAAATTTTTAGACTAATATTGGGTTATCATTCCATCGATAAGAATCAAATAAGTCCATTGGGATTTAATATTTTTTTATGTTCTACAAATTTTCCACTAAAGCAAAATTTCTATGAAAAAGTTCAGTTAGGTACTTCGTAATTATTACAATCCATCCAATAAATGTTAAAACTTTTTACACGCCCATGTGTGTATTACACAGGTCGATTGGTTCTGTGTGTATCTTGCGTACCCGTAAATAACCTAAAATTAAGCACTAAACAAACAGATTAGGCTGAATTTTTATTTCTGTATTACGTTCTCTCTAATTCTTTTAGTCTAAGAGCAAAGCCCTTTATAAAATAATGAGTTTCGCTATTATAGATTTGGTGCGGACTAGAGATATTATTAAGACAACAATTTTTATTTCTCAGAACTATGTATATCGTATTACATCAATACTAATTAAATTATTTAATTTATTATTATAGATGGATGAAATTTTATTATAATAAAAAGGAATAATTCTGACAAATTTGTTCAGCTACCAAATTAAATCAAAAAGAATTTGTTTTGGAGCTAATATTTTTAATTTTCAGATAAAAGTTACTTATTAGTATAAAATAAACAATTTACAACATTTCGAGTAAAATAGTCCAAATGTTTCACTTTTATCACTGACTATATAATAAATGTCGATGAAGAGCTTTTGATGAGTGTTAAATAAGCTCTAAATAAAATGCAGTGTTCATTTTGTAATATTGTGACTACAGGTGCTGCCAACATTTTTAGGGCAGTACAAACATAATATGAAGGGTTTTTATAGTAATTCATGAATAACGAAGAAAACAATGGAATTTAATAAAAATCTTATATAAGACAATACAATTTAAAAGTTAAACGTCGGTCTGGAAGGCCGACGAACGATTCATTAACTCCGTAAACTAAAAGGTCGGATCATAAAAAAATTGTACAATGATACATTGAGTAGTAATTCAATTCTTACATTAGTAAGTTTTCGTGCAATCCGTCGTGTATTTATTTATCTGGCATCGACAGCGACACATTATCTAATGACCTCCTTACAACTTAAACGATATCTCTAATATATTATATTTCTGGTACTAGTTGCACCGAAATCTATGATTTTAATGGGTTTTGTTTATGCCGTTTCGGTTGTGATACTGCCATAAACGATAACGATTGTTTATAACAATGTAACTACCTATAGAAAAATTCGAAATACAATACTTCAATACATAACTTTGTGTTTCATTTCAATAACCAGTGACGAGCCCTCAGTTTAAGGTAGATTTACTTTTTAAAGCAAACTACTTGAAGTAGGTACCCTCACCTCACTTTAAACGAGTTTAATGCAATACCACGTCGATACACTGTGCCATTGCTATGTCAAGAAAGACGAACCAATAAAGTCATTTTCGTATATTCGCATTAATATCATCTTATAACATTACCTCCTAAGGTTTTATAATGTAAGAAATATGAATAAATACCTTAATGTTCAAGGTTGAATAATTTTCAAAACTCCTAGGGGAGCAATCTTCCTTATTTATTCCTTAATTCAAAATGAATCTGTAGATTGATCTCGAAATTTGTATTAAAAATAATGTACGCGCGGCGTTGCAGGAAACAGCTAGTGTAACTAATAATAAAAAGATTATTTATCACTTGTTGCTATCTATGGTTATAAATAAACAATTTTTATCGTTAGGATTTTATGAAACATTGTACGTGTATGTGTCCAGTAGTGTTATTGCTTAAGTGTACTTAAAAATGCCGCGGAAAGTGGCGGATTTAATAAATAATAGTAATCGATTCACCTATTCATATGAGGTAACACCTGATATAAAGGTAGAGGAATTAGATAATTTAAATTTGCAACCATTATTCTTTTCTATAACATGGCACGCGCATCAACATCAGGGTAAAAATTTAGAAATAGCACCTTTAAAGTTAGCTAATTACTTGAGGAGCAAACGGAAAGACGTTTTATTGAATGTTTCTTGCACTGATTTAAAGAAAGACTATTTAAATGAATTGTTGCAAAGTCTGCAAGAAAAAGATATATGTAATTTGTTCATTATTTCTGGTGGTGAGTTATCTTTTTTTACTCAATCATTTATTATTATTTTTTTTTCTAGTATTTACAGAAAAAATAAAATAATAAATATTATTTACAGAAAAATTTGATCCGAACAGATCCGACTTCAAGAATAGTTTAGAATTAATCGCATATATAAGACATCGTACCGGGAATTATTTTTGCGTTGGCTGTGCTGGATTTCCAGGTGATGATAATAAATTGTCGCAGTTGAAAGAAAAAGTCGACGCTGGAGTGGATTTTATAATAACTCAGGCGTTTTTTTCTTACGATATTTATGACAAGTTTTTACATGAATGTAAAGACTTAAGTATTAATGTACCAATCATACCAGGTATTTTTCCATTTGATTCCCCAAAAGAATTACAGACTTTTATAAATCTATGTAAAATTCATATATCAGAAGATTTAAATAATATGTCAAGTGTTAAGCCTGGTAATGAAATTGTTACTGATTTAATTAAAACCATGATCGGGAAACTTCAAGAAAAACATTTTCATTTCTTTACTTTAAATAATCTACAAAGAACTATAAAAGTAATTACACAAATAGACTGTTGATTAAATTGTAAGTATAATTGATTAATACAACTGCTATTTTCAATAAATGTCCAGCAATAGGTTTTCCACGTGGAAATATGATTTTAAAAATATATGCAGTCGAATTAAGAAAGCTTCTTTTTTTGAAGTCGGTTAAAACGCTTATTTTTATCTTGATAAATATGCTTGATTGAGCAATCGCGAGGAGCATCACATCTGCTCCTACAGAAACTGCTACGTAGTGACCACGACCGCTCTGTCAAGAGTGTTACGAAGAAGAAGAAATATGCTTACCTTCCCCGTCCAAGTAGTGACAATATAGATGTAAAACAACATATTTAAAACGTTTTAAATAAAATGTTGCGTTTTGAACCCCAAATAAATCGTTTTAAATGGTTGAAAACACGCCTACAAAAATAAAAGAACTGTTTTACACTTCATTGTGGGCAATTTTTGGTTACCTAACGTCATGTTTCGTTTTGATCACTTTATAGAAAGTCTATAGAAAGTATCTACCTAAATTACCTACTACACGAATACTTAAGTATGTAGGTATACCTATCTATACTTGTTTATGTATAATACTATATTCCACACGTGCATTAAAATATAGTCATCAACACCAACCGTCTTAAATCGACAAAAAAAATTATTTCGGTTTTGAACGTTTTTTTTTTGTTTTAAACGGATTGGTTTAATTGGTTTTAAACTAGTCTTACTATAGGTGATTATCTATAGGTGACAACCATGTCGTAAATGATTCATACATGTGAATATCGGATGTAAGGTACTCGGAATTAGAACCCGCTGTACTTAGTTACCAAGGTCCCAAAGACAAGCGAGCGCTTTACTAATGGGATACCACTGTCTTCTTAACTTTATAATTAATGTCATAAATTGAAAGGCTTGTGTGTATGTAATAGTGATTAAAAATAAAATATTAAAAATATTCATTTTTTTAATCATTTTTTAATATTACGTTTACAGTATAGTACATGCATACTATAAAATATATACTGTAAATATGATACCCACTAAATAATATTAAAGTAATTTAACCTCTCAAGAACTATTTTATAGATTAATGAAATCTGATCATTATTAAGCAACTGAAATTCATAATATTATCGGGTTTTTCTTACTACGAGTTCTGGGCGTTAGTTAGGTACCTACATAAGTAGTGATGGAGTTAGAAGCGACTTAGTACATATTTTAATTTTTTTTTTTTAAATTGTAAAATGTTTAAAACATTTCTTGAAATATATTCTAATAATATCTGTAAGTTTATTTTATTAATTTCTATTATTAAATATAGTAAGCACCCTCTTCAATGGAGAGCGCAGCTCAACTTGAATGTTGAATTTCATATTTCTAAAAGCACTTTCACCATTTATCGAATTTTTACAAGTGTTGCTATAAAAAAGTAGGCGCATGTGTGTGTGTATGTATATTCCCTGTTTTCCGATTAGACTACTAAAGCACATTATGCGGCATAATGCCAACTTCGAATGTTTCAACTACAGCAATGTTTTGTCTCCGCACAATCAAGCCTTTTGAAAAGTACTGCTTTGGTGTGATGCGGCATAATGCCAACTTCGAATGTTTCAACTACAGCAATGTTTTGTCTCCGCACAATCAAGCCTTTTGAAAAGTACTGCTTTGGTGTGATGCGTGCAAGAATACCAACTCAGTAGCAGAAAATATAAGAAATACAAAAGTATATAACGAAAAATCGTTAAGGTCAAGTTTCGTCAAAATTTTACTTACAATTATGGTTAGTAATATGGTTTATTGTTGAACTAATTTGAAAAGCTTTCAACGTAATCTGTTAAAATATAAAAAAGTTAATTTATACTGTGTTCAAAAATAAACATAAGTAGGTATATATGAAGCTTAAAGGAGGCCAATAAATAATCTTTAAGCAAAACATTATGTCGATAATCAGATCAATTTGATTCTGTAGCTACAAGAATGATTTTATTATGATAAAATATTTTAGTATTTTACATACATTTATTTTTATTTTATATTCCATCGATATCGTAAGCCATGATAGATACACAAAAAAAGGATCTAAAAATGAATTATTCGTTTCCTATGTCCTCATATATCACTGGCTGAGTGTTGAACAATAAAATCTAGCTCAGGCGTACATAGAATAAAACTTTTTGAATCATCACGGTCCATAACGAAATAGAAAAGTTTTAACAATATTTGACTGATTTAAAAAAAGAGTAGTTGCTCAACTTGCTTGTATGTTTTTATGTATGTTACATACATGTAGGGTTTTTCCTATAATATTAAATTTAATTAAAATCCGGAATTTTTGATCCAAATTTTATTTAAGCACGTTATCGTTCGTAATATTTGTTTATATTTTATTAATATTATTATATATTTTTTAGTTATATATATTATATACATACGTATATTTACTTGTTAGTTATTTTTTTTTCTTTCAACACTGAACCTAGTGCTTTCTATCGGTGCATTTGAAAACTAGTTTACGTTCCAATTAAGATGTAATTGGAAAAACAAAATTGGAAAACAGGAAGTTGTATCTATCTATTAGTACAAAAATAAAAATCTGTGCCAAGCATTATGCCAAAGTCAACTGTCAAAATTGTAATGACAAATGTCAATCATACTGCAAGGACAGTCCTTAGAGGTTATTTTTTTCGATAAAGTTATTCAATATTATTGAATTACCTGAATAATAACCTTACATAATATTTGACTTTTGGAAAAAAGTAAGTGGGTTTTGTATGTAACTTTAGTTTCTTTTATAATTTCAGCATATTCATCATGTCACTTTTATAGGAACCCCAAGAGACATTTTTAATTACTCAAAGAATGAAATCTAATTAAACTAAAATAAAGTTAGGTCTAGAGTTGACAATCTATAAAATTTCCGTTTTAGGTACAAAGTATTCAAAGATGTCATTTCCTGATAAGCAACAACGAAAGACATGTTGGGATGCTAGAGACCGATACTGGGAGTGCTTAGATGATCAAAGTATAAAAGATGTTACTGAAAAATCTAAAGCGTGTGTTGAGTTTAGGAAAATATTTGAAAAATCATGCCCACCTAAATGGGTGACGCATTTTGATAGAAAACGAGATTATAATATATTTAAGGAGAAAATGCAAAAAGAGGGTTTTGAACCAATAAAAGACAGTGATTAATTATTTAAGTAATTAATTTATGTCATTGTAAATATAGTTTATTTAGTAAAATGGTTTATTTAAATATTGGCTTTTATTTATTTTACTGTGATATTTAAAAACAAAATAAACCAGTCTGCATGTATAAAGGTACCTAACTATAGATTTTTATAACTATTTAATGTAAACACTATATGAAGTGTTTTTGTTTTGTCAACAGGAGTTAGTTACAAAATATAATGGAACTTTTGGAATCTACTGTATGGAGATTAAATATTTCCACTCATAACATCACTACACAAACCATTCAGGTATAATCATATTCACTTTTAGTTATGTAGCATACTTATTTCAAGATCGTATGATTGCTTATGAGAAAATAAAAAAAATCGAAAACCTGGTTTAGGGTACAAAAAATATTTTAATGAAATTTTAAATTATTTAGTATTATATAATTTTGACAAATTTATTTGATATTAATACCTAATTATTTTTTTTAAAAATTCAGGATGTACTATCAACAATAAAAAGGAGCAATACTATCCTTGATAAAAATGAAGAATTATGTAAGACAACTTTGGATAAAATTTGGTTACATCTAACAACACAACTAGTAGAATTTGATGACCAATTATTGATGTCCATTTGTTTTTATTCTGTTTTGAGCCATTCCAAAAATCAGGAGTTTTATTTAAGGAAAATTATAGAAACATTAGACTATGATATTGTATTAAAACAAAGAAACATTGAAAACGGACAAAAACTTCACTTGTCTATATCATTGTGCTATGGAATGTTTCAATCTTCTTATCTTTTACAAAAGCCACATAAATACTTTAATACATTACACAAAGTTTTAGAATTAGTATTTTCACTACTATCTACCATGGCATATGAGTACTCACAATATACATACATAAATTTTAAAATTATGTCATCATTTAAAAAAGTGATAGGAACAAAATTTCAAAATAGTTTGTTCAATAGGAAATACCAAATAAAAATTCTAAACTTAATCAATCATAACTGGGAGAATCCAATTACTGGAGTCAGAGGTTTGAACAGACTGATATTTCAAACATTACTCCTGGTGTTGGACAGTGATATATATGAAACAGTTTTTGAAGAAATAAATTGTTTTTATTGGAACAAGGCAAAATTTTTAATGCTTGCTGAAATAATAGAGGAATTTAAAGGAAATATTGAAGAAATGGTGTTGAAAAATAACTGGATTGAAGGCCTCATTTATAGTTTAAATAAACCTGGTTTGGTATCTGCTGGAACTGATATGTATAATTCTATTTTAAAGAAAATTTCTTTAGAAAGTATTTGGATCACATTATTTTTATCCAAAGTAATTCAAATACTTGATGGGTCGTCATTTAAGGCAATTGAAAATTTTACTAACTATTGGTGCTTAAATACTTTAAAGAAGTTTCCTTCTTTAATGCATGTTTTTATTAACAAGCTAAAGGAAACTGATAATTCACAGAACAAACAATTAAGCACTTTATGTATAATGAAACAAGGTACCAAGTTAGGATTAATTGAAAGAACTTGGAATATACTAGAAATTGATGATACACTCATATTAAGAAGTCTGCAAAACTGCAACACATCCATAAGGATGTTAGCATTTGAAATATTTTGTATATCTCAGGGAAAGTATTTACTAACTGATTTGGAATATGAGCAAATTTTAAGTTTTTTGTATAACAATGTTAACTCTGACTGTACAGTTTTAAGAATAAGTATGATAAATAGTTTAACTTCCTTTTTAAATAAGTTACATGCTTGTTATTTAAACACTATCCAAGCCAACAACATTCAAGATATACGTAACTTACAAATTTTCTGCCAGAAATTACAGGAATTTGTTCTTGAGTCTCTAGAGTTTAATGGTAACTACCAAAGAAAGATAACAACAATTAAAATAATTCATGTTATTTTAAAATGTTTTAATGAAAATTCCAAAAAGAAACAGGTGCAAGAAAAAAATAAATCACTGTTGCAATGTTTAAAGGAAAATGGATATTGGATATTAAATGCAAAAAATACTGTATTTAAACTTATTAGTTTGCTTAAAGATCCAGCAAATGATGTGCATCAAGGTGTATTTCACTTTTTAACAGAATATTATTCTGAAGAACTAAGTGATAAAATGATGATTAATCATTTAATTCAAGAAGGTTTAAAATGTATTGGAAGTAAATTCTTCTATGAAGTTAGCTGTGGTCATAATATATTTCAGCTTATCATAAATATATTAATGAATAATAATATTGACTGTCAATTTAAAAAGATTGAAGATATTTTTGAATTAGCCTACAAAGAAATAACTCTGGAATACAATTCAAAAAGAAACATTGTACAGTCTATTGAAGATGGAAAGCAGTTACATTCCTTTTTAAGTTTATTGTGTATGGTTTTTACAACTTCCATTAGAAAGTCATATGAGTTAAAAGTTAGAAAAGAAAAAATAACAATATTACTCAGTATTGTTGAGAATATATCCAATCAATTTGTTATTGATAATGCAACACATACAAGCTCAGATTTCTCAAAAATAAATGTTATGGTAGAATCTTTGATAGAAAGTTCTGGGTGTGCACATAGCACAGAAGATGAGACAAAAATTTCAGGACTACATCAAATTGTTTTAAACTCTTTGTGGTTGAATGTTAAGGTAAAAATTGAAAGTTTTTATGTATGACTAGATACTCACCCTTGCTTTGGGTTCGTCCCTAGACAATAGCAAATGTATCCCAAGGAATCTGTACATTTTTGGGGATAACAAGTAACTTATTTGCTATTCCAGACTATAATTTATCTCTGTGTCAAATTTGATCCAGTTCCGTTCAGCCATTCTGGTGTAAAGAGTACAAACATCCATTTTCACAAACTTTTACATTTATAATACACTAGCAACTCACTCTCGCTTTGCTTCGGGTTCATCCCTAGACAAAAATAAAACAATCACATGGGAACCATACATTTTTCCAGGATGATATAGCCTATAGCCTTCAGCCTCCTAGCTATCCAATGCAAAAAGAATTTTTCAAATCTGATTAGTAGTTCCTGAGATTAGTGTGTTTAACCAAACAAACTCTTACATATAGATATTAGTATGGATATTATATTTTGTAATATTTTAAAAATTGCACTTCACACTATTAAGTTTGTGACTGTGTGATTGTTTCTCTGTCACATTGTAATGGACATATTGATTGGAATGAAGATACAAAGATATCTTATATCCTAGATATATAGTTTATTTTTACTTGAAATACTTCCATGAATATTTAACCCAATTGAATTATAATTTATTGTAATAATGAAATCACTTTTATTATAGGCATCTTGTGAGTTAGCATCAATATTAATTCAAAATTATAAAAATGATCCTGATATATGTAAGAAGTGCTTGAATATTATAACTCATGTTCTGGAAACATCTAGACACAAAGGCGCAATAGAAGCTGCAGGATGCACACTAGGTAATATTATTATTATATTTATAACTAGCATTGCCCGCGGCTCCGCCCGCATTCAAATGACCAAAAACCAAATTCTTAGGTTTTACATAAAACTTTCTTAGATTTACGCGAATATTTGACATTTTAAATAAAACTATGTTTTCGGATTATTTCGCGGATTTATTTTGATTTTTGGTTCCCGACGTTTCGAATGTTTCTTAGGTTTTACATATTACCCATACAAGACAAAAAGTGCAATGTTAGAACATTGCACTTTTTGTATTTTTTCTCAGAAATGAGACATTTTCCCGCGGTAAAAAGTATCCTACATGTTGACCCGGATAACCAACCATACCAAATTTCATCAAAATCCCTCCAGTGGCTTTTCTGTGATGCAGTAACAGACAGACAAAAATTCTAAAAACTAAGGATTCGGCCTCTGTCGATAATAATGTTTATTTCAATAAGATTTTCCAAAAAATATTTAATGTACAGATTCGGCTTCGTTACAATTTTATTATATGTATAGACTATTATTAGTTTGTATATTTTTTTTGTTTGTATAATTTGATTGATATTACTTGTTGTTTTCAGGTCAAGGAATTCATTTTTTAACTTCATTAGCAGATGAATTGGATGTTTCCAAACTACCTTTTTCATTGCTAGAAGAGAAATTAAATGATTTGTTTTTTGAAACAAGCAAAATGTCCTCTGTAACAAGAAGAGGTGCAGGCCTTTCAATAATGGTTCATAGAATTGTTAGTAATGACATTAAGAAAGGAAAAGTGAGTTAAAATAACGGATTCATCTATAATTACATTAGTTTTACTAAGCTAGAACTTAACTAGAGATTCACCCTCTCATCGCTTGAGTTTGTCCTTAGTGAAAAACAAACAAATCTATCGAGCTATTCAATGCTATAATCTATCACTGTGCTGAATTTCATCCAGATCTGTTCTGGCATGATTTAGTAACAAACTTTCGCATTTATACTCGTAATACTAATAAAGGGATTAAAAAAAATATCAATCATGATTTAAGGCTTTGACTTCTTAGTAAAAATGCAGGTGATGATAGATGGTAATAGTTTTACATATAGATGTTCTAGTACCGTTAATAGTTTTTCGAATTGCAAAATCTTTTGTTTTCAGCCACTATTCCATTATTTTATGAAAACCTTATTAAATAAATGTAATAAATTAGAAGATTGTCCGAAGACAGATAGAAATGTTGATACTGATGTTGAAAAGGATCTACCTAAAGCCATTTACATACATTTCTTAACAAGAATTGTAACTGATAGCAGTTTAGCTTCAGAGTGTATGTACTACTCAGCAGAGTTAGCAGCACTTGCATTTGATAATTTGACCAATTCTCACTGGCAAATAAGGTATGCTTATGGAGTTGTCTATTATTAAAGTTTATGCGAAATGTATTCATATTAATGTAATTATAAAAAATATGAAATGAAAGTAAAGAGGGTCTATTTACTGATTAGCCATTTTTTATAAGAACATTTTTTTATATAAATTATCTCCATTTTCAAATTTTAATGTCCATTATTTATTATTTATTATCATTATTACTTTCTTGCTTACAATTAACATAACTTCTTTTTATTAAATGCTATGAGAGTTGTTTTAATGGCATGTTTTCTGTATATATACCTATAATATTTGTATTTCGTTTACTTTTGTTTATCATAGTTATTTTTTAAAGGAATGCAGCCCTTCAGTTATACGGAGCATTAATACCAAAACTGATTGGTCAGAAAAAAGCTTCTGGGACAGATGACGAGACATTAGCTACAGTAGCTTGTGATGAATTTAGAACTCATTCACCAAAACTATGGGAATATATTATAGAACAAATTCATAAACCAAATGGAACTGACATAATCCAGGCTCACTCTAATTTAGTACCTATATTAAATGTATTGTCAAGTGTTGCTAGACGATATAATTTTAAATATGATATATTAGAACAAGAGACCTATGAATTGAGTTTATTACCAAATTTATTTAATTTACTGGGAAGCCCCATTTACACTGTGCGAAGAATAACTTCACAGTGCATTATAAACATGTATTCTTTTGATAGTGTGTATACATTAATAATGAGCAATGAAAACTTTTCTGAACATTGTATTCATGGGGTCCTATTGCTAATTTTAAATTGCTACAAGATATATTACAAAACATGTGAAAAACAAATACACAACTTAATTGAAAAGTACAGTAATATAGTAAATTGTGGGAAACATTGTTATATTTGCAAATGGAATTTAGAGAAATTGCCAACAAAGGAAGAAATACCCACAGTAACAGTTGAAACAATCAAAACCATTTTAAATGAAGAGAAAATCAATAGATATGAGCCAGGAGTGTCTTTGTGGACAAATATAAAAATTCGAAAATATTTAAACAATATTAATTGGGAAATTATTCCTGATGTATTAAGTGTGCTCAGTGAATTTGAAGATTTTGAGAAATATTGTGAATTATTAATTGAAAAAATACAAGACAGTGAACTACCTAAAAAAATATTAGCTACAATAGCTAATACATTATTATCAGGACTTTTTACAAAAAGCTCTGTGGCATGCAAATTGCTTTATATTGTCTCACAGAAAGCACAATTTAATTTTATACATAATCAGAGCGATATTATAAAAATGTTGGATAATCCATCATACAAGATGCGTTATATAGTTCCATTTGCTTCAAGATCCTTTGTAATACAAGGAGAAGATGAAAGTTTAGTAAAAGTATCAGAATGTATATACTCATTATGTAATCCTGAATATAACGATGTTGATATGAGATATATAGCTACATTGTCTAATAATGAACTCACTAATAATTTTGACAATCATTCAGATTACGTCAAAATTAATGCTGTTAAAACTTCTGTCATACTTTTGCAAGATGAAGACGAAGATATCAGAAATTTATGTGTAGCGTTTTATAAAAACATAGTTAAAGATAATATATACAAAAATCCCTTTATTTGTTTGAGTAATATATTAAAAAAAGAGTTTTTATGTTCAATTTTATCAGATCCAATTTCTGGTATAGAAAAGATTTGTACAGATTTGGGCAATTTTATTGATTTAATAAGCACAAGCAAAAGTGATAATAACAACCCTTTTGCTAATGATGCTAAAAATATATATCTTGAAATAAATGTACTGAGACGATCCCTGGAAGATTTAAGCAAGTCCCTTCTTAATAAATAAAATATTTTTTATGCCTCACTAAATTTATTTTTACTCTAAAAATTTATGTGAATGAGATTAAGACAATTACCTAACATATATATGTTTATTGTGGTTTATTCATCATAATAATATTTTTGTGGTGGTGTGGTATCATCTATCTGTATGGACACTATATGTCGTCCCGGCACCATGACTAGCCCCAATACCCTAGGTTCCTCCGTTTCTCCATCAGCAGTTTTAAGATACTCTGAGCAAGCACCTGAAATATATATAAACAGATTTTATAACTCTTGCAATTTTTATTATATATAAAATATGATTTTCTCATAACAGTTACTACTGTACTGTCCTTTACTTATTAAGTAATATTTTAAAATTCATTATTTATTTTAAATAAAACTATCTTTTCGGATTTTGTCGCGGATTTATTTGCATTTTTGTTTCCTGACGTTTCGGAATGCTTTACAGCATCCATGGTCACGGGAGAGACTGAGGTGTTACATATCTTGAAGGTATAGTTGTTACAGACAGCCTACCCACAATTAACAAAATGAAAATTGCACCAATTACATTACAATATTTTTTAACTTTAAACATTTTTATAATTTTAATTATAATTGAATATTATTTATTTAATTTTTGCTATTATTTTTATAATTATTACAATTTTAAAAATATTAATTAGTAATCTATATTTAGTGTTGCCATTATTATATTTATAACCATAAAGAAAAATATAAAATATAGTATTAATTATTTAAGCCATATAATTGTTCTATGTGTAATTTAAAAAAGTGAAAGTTAATTAAGGATAATCATTTTAATTTAGTTTGCTATTATTTAAAAACAACTTACGAAGCAACACTATTACTATATACTTTTACAAATGAAAAATGAAAAACATTAATCTGATAAGCTGTCATTTTGATCTACACAGTAAGAACTTTAGTAAGTTCTTACAAAGTTCTTACTGTGTAGAACTGTGTGTACTTAAGATGTAGTCATCTACCTGTCTGTTATGTTTATATTTATTATTTGATTTTATTATATTAATAACAGGATCCCATGACGATGGTAGTACCCAGCCATCTTCCCTATTGAAATTTGGATGTTTTTAATTTCTATGGCTTCTCGAATCATTTTAGGGCGTTATCGGTTTTCTTTCGCCAGGATTTGAGGTCTATCGAAGCGAATATAATGACTACCTATACCTTCAAGACATGTAACATATCAGTCTCTCTCGTGACCACGGATGCTGTAAAGCATTCGAAACGTCGGGAAACAAAAATGCAAATAAATCCGTGACAAAATCCGAAAAGATAGTTTTATTTAAAATGTCAAATATTCGCGTAAATCTAAGAAAGTATTATTTCATTATTTATTCTTATTTTGCAAACTTGCACAGAATTAGACACTTAACACTTTGTTGTTGCTGAATTATGAAACCAGCAATTTCATATTATATATAGTTACACATAATTAAGAATTATAGATAACCAAATATTTTTTTCATTAATTATGTTAAATTAATAAAACTATAATTCAGATTATAAAAATATGATAATGTAAAATAATTAAATAGCTCACCCAATATAACATTAGCATCTCTATCTGTGCATAAAAATACTCCTATAAGAATTCTGCCATCAGTCATCTCAATTCTAAAATTTACATTCAGCCATTTTCTTAATTTGCTTTTTCCGTCTAACTCCTCCGTTAACTAAAAGTAATTAATAAAAAGATTTCACACATTTATTACATACAAGTATATGATGCCTTTTGAGACATCTATAATCTTAGTCTCTCCCGTGACCATGATTACTGTAAAGCATTCGAAAGTCAGGAAACAAAAATCTAAATAAATTCACGAAATAATCCGAAAAGAGTTTTATTTAAAACTAGCAGAACCCGCGAATTTGCTTGCGCTAAAACTACAAAAAATATCTAAAAAGGTAGGTAGTTTCATGCAAACTTTCATCCCCTCTTTTACCCCCTTACAGAATGAATTTAGAAAAGCGCTAAAACACATATTTAATTTTATTGAAGAGCATTAATACCAAGTTTCAAGTAATTCTGATCATAAATATTTTTTGGATTGTATTATAATTTGTTTTTCCGTGGGAATTAGATAATCTCCCGCGGTAAAAAGTAGCCTTTGTCACTCTCCAGCCCTCCAACTATCTCCACACAAAAAATCACCAATCCGTTTGTTTTCCCACTCCGTTTTGATGTGAAAGAAGGACAAACAAACAAACACACTTTCACATTTATAATATTAGTATGGATTTTATTTATCGAGATACTTAGTATTCTAACTATATATCATAATATATATAAAATAATAACGTATATAAATATAATAATGCTAACAGTATTCTAAAACAACAATTTTATCAAAACAAAATTACGGTTACTTACTTTGGTTTCATCCGCTGATTTTACTGTCGTACTCATAATGTATATTATTCCCTTTGATTCACCAATAAATATTTACGTACCAATCTTGTGAGTAAAACTATTTAAATTGTTTAATGTCTATTTTTTATGTTTTAACCTTTATCCACCTATCCATTAACCCTAAAAATTATAAACCCATCTTTTTTTTTTTTTTAATAGCTTATAGTTGCGTTAACAGATGCAATCCATTCTGCCAGTGTCACGTTTTGTGAGGAAGACACGAATGAGATTGAGCGGTAATTTTGAAATTTGGTAACTTTATTGTAGAATTAAAAGTATAAATGAGTGATCGGTCTACAAGAGTAACCTATAACAATAGAAAAATAATTACGTAATACAAAAATGACACATTGATTGAGAATGAAAAAATATATACATAATGAGAACTATATTATAATTTAATTTTATTATCTACTATAAGTTTAACTAGTTTTTTAATAAATGGGCTAAATACAAGGGCTAATAAACATTTGGTGTTAACTGGGCGGTGAATTTGAGGAGGGATTATATCATATAAAGAATATTTCAGTTTGGGACAATTAAAGAGAATATGATCAGTGGAACCCTCATCTAAGCCACATTCACAAATAGAGCTATTTCTAATTTTTAATTTTGCTAAATGAACCGGAGTACACGCATGGCCTAGACGAAGCCTACATAATATAATTGAGGTGGTTTTGCGGTCAGCACGGCGAAATCGAAAGAACCACGGGGAGACTGGAACCTCCGGTTGTATTGAAGCATAATACTTACCTTTAATTGTTTTAGAAGCGTTCCAAAATGTGTTCCAGGAAGTGTAAAGACTTTTTTTAGACAAAGAACGCAAGTCGTAGGAGTAATTATAATAATGATTTAAAATTCCGCTAACTGTTGCAGATTTGGCACAGCTATCAGCAATTTCATTGTCGATAATACCTGAATGACTAGGGATCCAAGCCAAGGTTATGAGGATTCCCTGTTCATGGCAACGAAAGAGAACTTCTCTAATTTTAAATATAATAACAAACCTTGATTTACTTCGGAAAGGGTTTTGTAAGATACTCTGAAGGGAACTTAAAGAATCTGTGAAGATAATGACTTTTGACATTTTATGTGATTTTGCAAATAAAATGGCTTCAAGCAGAGCTATACACTCTCCTTTTTTTTTCTTTTTTTTTTTTTAACGTTGGGAAATGCATTTACGCACGAGGTGTGGGACTCACCGGCAAAGCCAGTACTACCCACTAAAACCCAACAAAGCCTTCCCCCGTCTTAATGGGGCGTCGCAGGATCGCTTACGCATTCAACTACGACGCCCCGACGGCAGGTCTGCTGAAGCAGACCACAACTACCACGGGGTTGCTCCAAGGTCCACTCTGCTATCAGAGAAGTATCAGGAGCAACCCGCATGGTACACCGCCCTCCGAAGAGGGCTGCCTCCCACCGCCCACCGAAGTGGGCCTCCTCCCTGTGCGTTTCTTGGCTTCGCGCCCGGTCGGGTTGCCGGGCACTACTGAGCCCCCCCGCCACGACAAGGTGAATGCATGTTGGGGGGGAGCTATACACTCTCCTGAAAAAGCAGAAGCTTCAGGAGGACACTTAAAATTTAGTATAATATTGAATCGAGGGACCCAGCAAGCAGCCCCAACACAAGACTCACAAGTAATTTTGGATGCATTAGTAAATATTTTAATATAATCAGACCAATCATTATTAGCCCCGATCTTTGACATTCCAAAGTTTATGGATGTCAATTGACAAAGAATAATGTTAATATTGACAAAGCAGAAAGAATAAAAATTGATCTAGGTAATGTTAATATTCATTTAAAAAGCGTTGGAAAATCAAAGACAAAAAATAATCCGTGAAAATACGTTTTAGATCAAATGATAAAATCACATAAAATTTGTCTTAAAAATTTTTATTCCAAAAATTTGTAATTATTACTTATTTACCATTGGTTTTTGTATATCAATGTATTTGAGTACCTATTTTTTTTATATAGTAGTATTTCTACCCAACCGCCAACGTCATTCTCTATATAGTTTGTGTTAATACTTAATAGTCTGTATTTGTATAATTTATTATGTATGTATTTGAAGTTTGTTGTCATTTGTCATCCATCTCCATGCTATCAAATGTCAATTAAAATTAGTCAAAAGTGGTATAAAAATAAACCTATGAGATGAGAGATCTTTCTTACAATGAAAGGAAACGTTACTGATGAAAAAGAAGATAATTTTATGAAAAGTTTTAAATATTATAAATCGAACAATCCCAAACCTTCACTAGAATTACTGATAACAACACAAAATAATTATTTTGACGAGGTTAAGTATGTCGATTATTTGTGTTTAAGATAAAAACAGCGCTGGATTTACACTAGGGGCACTCGGGGCTGGTGTCCAGGGCGGCGAAAAAATTTTTTTGCGTTATCCAAAAATGCTTTTTTTTTACAAAAAATGAAAAAAAAGATCGACTAGTAGGTGGTACATTTTTCAAAAAATTTATATCATTTAAAAAAATCATTTTGCAATTTTCAAAAGAATAATAATTAAAAATAATTAAAACTTTCTACATTTCATTCAATATTTCGATAATAGGACGGTATTACTCTGTAGTATTTACTCTGACTGGGGCGGCGCTAAGGTTAAATCTGGCACTGGATATTAACAATAGGAGTAAAATTGATATAAAATGTGACTATTTAATAATATATTCTTAATAATTATAGGAAATAAATTCTATTAATAAAATTACTGAAGATGATCCGAGAGCTGAAATGCTGGGTTTGATTAGTTTAAAAAATTGGAAGGTCTATAGATTTAAAAAACATCCTGGTCTTATTCTTATAAGGAATCCTTTTACAAGTTCAGGACAAAGGTATTGGATACAGAAAAGTCTTAAAGAATATCCAAAAAAACCAAATAAAACAAATATTGATATAGAGAGAAATATTGATGACTGGTGGGCAGAATGCAATCTTAATGACCAATGTGATAGAAAACTACAAAAGAAGTTAAGATGGACTACCCTAGGATATCATCACAATTGGGATACAAAAGTAAAATGTTAATATATTTAAAATGTCTTTTGTGTATTGTAAGAAAAGTTTCCTCTTTTTGAGTTTAATTTGGCATTTGTTGTAAGGTTTCATTAGACAGTCAATTAAATGACACCAATGAAATTTTAATAATTTGACCTCTTTATATAAAATGAAGTAAATAATCTTGTAAACTATTCCCAAAATACATTTTATAATGTAATTTACAGATTTATGCTGAAGAAAATAAAAATCCATTTCCTGATGACTTAGCAGAATTATGTGATATATTTGCAAATTATTTAGGATATAAAAGTTTTAAGGCACAAGCAGCTATTGTGAACTATTATCATATGGGATCAACATTGTCAGCTCATACCGACCATTCAGAAGTTAATTTAGAAGCACCCTTGTTCTCTTTTAGGTACCAACCTATAATTAACCGGAATATTTTTGTACTTTGACTTTAGAGAGACACTTTATTCTAAATAAATATATATTTAGTTAGAATTAAATTTATATTTAGTTACATTTAATAATATTAAAACATTATAAATATACATATCCATACTAATATTATAAATGTGAAAGTGTGTTTGTTTGTCCTTCTTTCATGTAGAATCAGAGTAACGGATTGGCGTGATTTTCTTGTGTGGAAATATTAGAGGGCTGAAAAGTGACTTAGGCTACTTTTTACTGTGGGAGGTTATCTCATTTCCACGGGAAAACACATTATAATACAATCCAAAAAAATATTTATGATAAGAATTACTTGAAACTTGCTATTAATGCTCTTCAATACAATGCAATAAATACGTTTTTTAGCATTTTTCAAAATTCATCGTATAAGGGGGTAAAACTGGCGATGAAAGTTTGTATGAAACCTAGATAATTTGTTTATTTAGTATAAATATTTTTAGTTTAATATAATAACATTTTAAATGTATCCAATTAATGAAATAAATTTTATCAGTTATTTTTTGTATCATAATAAAATTTTAATTTTCAGCTTTGGCCAGTCTGCTATATTTTTGATAGGAGGCCATGATAAAGCATCTGACCCTTCTGCTATTCTATTAAATAGTGGAGATGTTATTATTATGTCTAAAGAAGCCAGGCTTTGTTACCATGCGGTGCCTAAAATATTACCTGCATCATCACAACCGTGGGATAGTATTGAAATACTAAATAAAATTAATAGTGGAGTTCAATTCAAATATTTACCTAAAGAACTAGATATAAATGAAACTATAGACAAAATGTGGACTAAATTTGGCATATATATTAAAGAATCAAGAATTAACATAAATGTTAGACAAGTACTAAAAGAAAACCAGACAAATTTAAATGATGTAAATAATATATAGTTTATTGATATATTTATATGTAATTAGTTTCATTTAGACATTGCTGTTTATCATTTACAGGTATGATTTTATGTGGTATTTTTGTGGCGATGGCTGTTCAGTTATAACTGAAAAAGAAAAGATTTAGCTTTTAACAAATTGTAGAATGATCAATATTAAATCAGTATGGACTACATATTTATAAGATAAATATTTTTAGTGTGTGTTTTTTTTAGTTAATCGTTCTGTAGTACCAGTTTATTGCATTTTATTTAGTCAATGTTATTTAGTAATATTGTCATTTGTAGAGTATCTCTTTAATCGATGGACAGATCTCATATAATTCTGGGAAAAATTTAAAATATGCAAGTAACTGGGGAATAAATAATCTTTAACCCATATTATTAAATCGGTACCGTGTCCATTAGACTTGTGTGTGAAAAAATCATGAGAGCTCTTTTGACAATTCCCCATCAGATTCCAAAAACATTTGACGTAACATTCAGCATAGCATTCGTGTACGTAGTGTACGTAAAAATTTGCGAGTCCGCGCATCTTTTCTTTAAAACATTTTTTAGCGTGAAAATCCTTTTGTTAAATAGTTTTAAAAGATTTCATAAAATTAAACGAAGGATTTTTTTTACATAGCAAAAATGCTAGACGCGATAAGCGAGTACTATGACATTATTATGACGTATCTACCTACAAAAACTAAAGTTTTAATTTGAAAGTGTCATTTTTTACTTCGTTTTTTAATAGGTGTTTAACAACCTATATAATCTGCCTAATAATATGTCTAAGTGATAATATGTCTTTACTCATTGCCGCCAGTGAAAGTATGATGGTATGATAAGAAAGGAAAAATAGGAAGGGCATAAAGGGAATAGATTGGGCCTCATTCTTACAAGTTACACATCTCACAAAACGAAATAGTGCGATTTAATGTTTACACTACTACTTAAAGACGATGATTAATTATGATTTTGTGAAAGGATAGTAGGCAGACAGTAGCTGGTTCATGCTTTTACTTAGTATCAGCACAGATCACATAATACTATATACTAGTGTAACAGATGCCTCACCCCATACAAAGAAATTGGACAGCGCTAATTCGGGTTATTTTTCGGGCTATTTTTGTTTGCTTGAATAGATAATAGATGTCGTTGATTCGTAAATAGTTAAACTGTTTTTATTTATAAATATATGACTAACAAATGTTAAATATTGTAAAATTTGTTCTGCATTATATATCTGTGAATCATCATCATCATAATCAGCCTGCTTTCGTCCACTGCTGGACATAAGCCTCTCCTATGGCACGCCACCATTGAGCTCGATCTTCAGCTCAACGCATCCAACCAACTTTTGTATATCTGTGAATATACACTACAAACTTCATCTGATTGCTGATAATTTAATAAGTAAAATTACGCAAATTTTATCTACGGGCATATATTTTATTTCTTCTTAATATTTTTAAAATCATAATACCCTTTTTTGAGATCTAATTTTTTATCTTTTGTTTTTTATTTTTTTTAATACAACTTTAATAAAAATCGATACATGTCACGTTATCTATTGACATTTTTTTGAACTATTTTTTTTTTGTTCGTGATGAGACCCCATGGTATCAATACAGTCATTCACACATCCATTCAGTCATTTAACGAAGGCTTGTTAGATGCAGCGTTACCAATACCAATTTATCAAATTCTCCGAAAGTCCAAGTCAAATTCCCCAATTTGGGGTAGGTACTACTGGAGTATACTGGTTACCCAAAAATTCCTCTCAAAATTAATTTAAGAAATGAAACAAGTTTCAAATATTTAGATATTTTTTTTTGTCTTTCATATTTTTAAAATTTTTGTCACTGTTTTTTCATATTTTTGTAACAAGCATTTTGTTCGATGGCTTAAACTGGGCACTGCCGTCCAATTTTTTAATCCCTTCCCATGTTGTCATTAAAGGTACTACAATATTAATTGTATTTAGACGATTGCGGTTTTATGTTTTTAAATTTTTAAGGACACCAAAATTTAATAAAATACTTTAATGTAAAAGTATAGTAAGATACTCAAACATATAAATACTCAAAAGGTATATTAACATTGGTGTCGGAATAAACAATGAAGATTATTTAAAAATCATTCAATATCCATAGGTAAAATTTCTTGAAGAAGTGTCTGACCTGGCGTGAGCTATCGATATTCAAAATCCCCACATTTTCCCCGCAGTATACCAATCTCCAATAAATCTCCAACCAACTTGAGATTCTCGCAGTTTGGGGAATTCCCCACAAGTTGGCAACGTTGCTTAGAGAGGTTGTCATACAAAGGTACTTTTTTATTTTATTACCTTATATACTATTCGTTATGAAAAAAAAACTATCCTCTTAATAAGATTGTTTATAAAGTCTTAGTAATGCATCTGAGCTTTAGATTCGTGATTCAATATCTATAAATAACATCTTTTCAGCACCTATAGACTAGTTTTGGGTTATTTTGGGTATATTTTGTATACACCTATTCTCAACCAATTATTTGCTTTAGTATGCTCCTTATACCTAAAGGTTATAAGTGAAGTGCTAAACCATATATATTATAAGAATGATATGGAGCACAGCCGGGAGACGTGCACGCTTTAATATTCACAAGTTCTTTGTATCGGGTAGGTATTCATTCGCGATCGGCAGTTAGCTGCTTCATGCGATATCGAATCCAGCCCTTTCAATCCGGAGCGAATAGACGACAAAGCGGCACGATTTCCCCATTTGCTCAATAGAAATGCCATTTAGCGTTTCAGTTCAAAAAAGATGATTATTCTAAATCCTGAACATTTCATACCGTTCTCCAACGTCGATATCCAGTTCTTATGCAGTGCACTTCGAGAGAGAAAGACTTACTTTGTACCAACACAATAGGGAAATGACTTACCATTTTCTTGAAACTATTAATGCTATAACAATTATTTGCTATATAAGCTATTATAAAATATGTATGTCTCCGACTGCATAATACTGTTCCTTTGTCGACTTGTTCTCATATTTTTAGTTCGCTTTTTACGCAGTCGGGTTTTTTTTATTTTTGTAAATAATTTTTTTATTGACAGCTTTTTAGTTTTGGTCAGTTAGACATTTTTAGTTTTATTTGACAATCTTCATCTTATCCTAAATTACTGTTTAAACATATAAGTTGTAGGTATATATTTTTGTAATCGCCTGTTAAAAATCTGTATTTTGATACATACTTCGGACGAAAAACTTTTTTTTCGAGACAAATTGGCGCCTTAGATCCATCATTTTCTATTGATTTTTAATAATATATGTATATAATATATAACATTCTCATTTTCAAGACGAATCTAACGACTTATGAATCATCAAAATCGGTTAAGCCATTTAGTAATTACGAGGGAACATAGGGTCGGACACACATACATACGTACAGGTCAAACACATAACCCTCCTGTGGGCAATTTGCCACAGTCGGAGAAAATTACAGCCGAATTGCATGTCCGTTTTGAAGTCTCAAAACTTTTGTTCTATAATGCAGTTATGTTTATTTTAATATAAAAAATTAAAAGTATTTTTATCATACTTAAATTCCGTAGCATCTAATGATCTACAGCCTCTATTTCTAACCCAATGACATATTTATACCTCACTAGTTCTATATCTGTAGACAGAGCACTGAACCTCTAACGACATCTTTATAAGGGGACTACAATAAAAGCGGACTTAACGGGGTGTAGTCACAATAGTTGGCAAATTGAGTTAGGTAGGTACATTGTCGTAAACAAGCGCAGTAATTTGCGAGTCGACGTGGCTCGAGTCGCCCGATTACATTCGAACAAGTATACTGTCATACGCAACCGAACTCAATGGATGCTCGTTGAACTCAATAGGAAGTGACGTACGTGGTAGGCATCGTGTAAAAATTTACTTAGGGTTATCAATTTACAGTTAAGTATATGGATTAATTTTATTCATAATACATTATTTCTGGCTTATATGCAGTAAACCTGATTTAAATTTTCCATTGGCAACTTAAAGAGACGTTTAAACATCAATTATTAAATTTGAAAAATGATAAGCATTTTACCTTTTTGGAGGAAGTTTTTTCAAAAATTCTTCCTACTCAGACACACTTTCGTTATACTCCTGCACAAGGAACTTTTGTTTTGTGCAAAAACTTTATGAATCTAGTCGCGATGTTTGTTAGTCAGTGCATTAATAAACGTAAATATCTACGTGTATTTTTTATATACCTATATGAAATAATACATTTAATATTCACAACATGTCTTTGTATTTGTATGCAATGTAAAAAAGAAAGAAATAAAAATAAGCTAAGCAAAGAATCCGAAACTAGGAAAAGTCAAATATATTTTAAACTAGCATTGCCCGCGGCTCCGCCCGCGTTCATATGACCAGAAGCCACATTCTTAGGTTTTACATATTAGTATTCTCGTATTAGTATATTAGTTGACCCGGATAACCAGCTATCACCATAGCAAATTTCTTCAAAATCCCTCTAGTGATTTTTCTGTGATGCGATCACAGACAGACAGATAGACAAAAATTCTTAAACTATAGGTTCGGCCTCTGTTAGCGATAATAATGTGTATTTCAATAAGATTTTCCAAAAAATATTTAAAGCGTATACGGCTTGATTAAATTTTAATATATCTATAGATCAATAATTAAAAATAATAATACAAAAAGATTATTTTTTAATAATTTGAACACGGGCGGGGCCGCGGGTAATTTAGTAGTAGATAATTTTAATAAAATCATAGAAAGGTCTAATTTGTACACTCAATTTTATGGAATTAAAACTACGTATTTTAAAGACACATGGCGACATCTATTGACAAATTGAAATATCTTAATAATACAAAAATAAATATTCATTAAAATAACTTTTTTAATGAATAAAATAGTGCTATTGATATACTTTTTCAAGATTAGCTATTTTTAATAGTTTTTGTCATATTTAGTAAGTTAACTTGCTAAAATG